CCCCCCCTCCCTGCCACTCTGCTTCTCCCCGAGGGGACAAGCCGGCTGTGCAGAGACCTGGCCCACAGCCTTGCGTGCCGTCCGCCCCAAACCTGGCCAGCCTGGCCCTCCGGGCAGAGAGCAATCACAGAGTGCAGAGTGGCCTGGGAGCACAGCCCCTGGGGGGGCGGGTCCCCGTGCTGAGACCCCCTGGAGACCAGGGTCTAAAGCTGTCGGAACCGCACAGTGGGCGCTGTTTTCAGATCCAGGACGCCAGGAACCACGTGAGCCAGGCCATTCACCTCCTCACCAACCGGGATGAAAGCTACCAGTTCAAGACCGGAGCTGAGGTGCTCAAGGTGGGCTTGCGGGCAGGAGCAGGAAAGCAGGTCCCCGTCCTCAGCACCAGCCCTGCTGGGGCCCTTGGGCAGCTTCGCACCCTGGACCAGGTCCCCAGTCTTAGCTGAGGGTTGACCCTTCGCTCGGTGAGACCCGGGTAGGCACAGCACAGTAGCTCACAGCCCAGGACCCACAGACATGGGCTATCCCCGGGCCCGGGGCTGAGGTGTGGGAGGGCCCCTCCACACCCTCAGAGGTGCAGAGCCCACCACACGACCACCACCTTCCTCTCTTGCCCTTCCCCTTTCTCCGCCTCTTTTCCCTTTATTTTCTTTGCGGCTCTCGTTGGGCCCAACTTTCTGTTTCCCGACCATCCTGTGCACCCCCTAAATGCCAAGGCTGTGGGAGACCATCAGCCCTATGGACAGCTGGGGCCCACCACCACCCCCTGCACTGGCTCAAGGGCTCTGGGTATCAAGAATAGGAGGGTCATTGCAAGCTAAGCGACCTCGAGTCACCTATGTAGCCACTCAGTGCCTCCTGTTCTACACCTGTAAAAGGGAGCCAGGCCAGCAGGTGGCATGGTGGTTAGGGAGGCCGGATCCCTAACTCCTGGCCAGCTGCACAGTTTGGGTCCCAGATCCTGCGGCTTGAGAAACACACCACGCGCGTGTGTGCCCAGAGTCCCAAGAAGAGAATGAAGAAGGGATTGTGGCATGGCCATCCCTCTGGGGGGTGGTTTCCATTCCTACCTCTCTCCAACAATTGCACACACTATAGAGCAAATTAAAAAAAAATCTTTAAAAGAAAAAGAGACAGATAATGGGGGGGCCTTCTGAAAGTCCATGGAAAATGTGTCATAAGAAAGGTATATGTACATTTCAAACATTTCTGTACCAGGACAAACTCACATCTTTTTTTCTTTAAGAGGTTTTTGCTATGGGGCACGTGCGTTCACCCGAAAGAGAGGGAGACAGAGAGACAGAAAGTGAGAAATCACCCCCCAGGGGGAATGGCCACGCCACAATCCCTTCTCCATTCTCCTCGCGGGATCTTGGGCACACACGCACACACGCACACGCGCCCAGCGTGAGTTTAAACCACCGGGTGTGGGACTTGAACCATGGTCGACTACATGGGAGTCCAGCGACATAGCCAACTGCTGGTCCTAAACTCACATCTTAATTCCATTGTCTGGTGAACTCTTGAAGTCCCCTCACACTCGTTGCCAGCCACAGCAGCTACAATAAAAGCCACTAATCGCAAAGCCATCCCGCATGGGCTTGGACTGCCTGGGATGTGTGGCTCTGTCCCTGACGCTGTGTCCTCTGGTGGTTCACCCCACCACTCTCACCCTCTGACCCTCGTGACTGGAACCAGATGGACTAAGGTCTTTTGCAGAGCTGTGAGTGCCCTGGGTGTGCAGCCCCACACCACGCATCTCTCCTGTGTGTTCCCAGAACCAGGACTCCCCAGTGCTCATGAAAGGCCCTGACGGCCATCAGGCAGCGGAAGCTGGGGCTCAGGAGTCCGCCAGGGGGTTGCACCAGCAGAGGGGAGGGACGGGTGGTCCCAGGGGGTTCCTCCAGCTGAGTGATCTTGGCTTACCCCTTCAGAGCCTCAGTTTCTTCAACTCAGCCATTGCATGCCTAGGAAGGAGGCTCCCCTGGCCCCTGCACCCACCTTGGATTAGGGCCCCCCACTTCCCTTCGTCACCTGTCCCCCTACCTGCAAAGCCCCTGTCCGTGGGACTCTGCTCCCAAGATCTTCCATTCCCCATTGGAGCAGTGCCTGGGCCCCGAGTGTGAAGGATATCCATGCAGACGTCCTGGCTCCACCCCCCGAAGCCCAGACTCCTGCATCCTGACAGGCCCCCACTGGAGGTTCAGGTCCTGCAAACTGCGACCATGGGCAGTGGCAGGGCACCCTGACGTGCTCTGCGGTGCCCACTGCGGGGTGGGGGAGGGTGGGGCCGGGCCGCACACTTGCCGACTGCCCCTCCCCCAGCTGTTGGC